TTTATTAATTTTTAAAAGAAAGAAAAATACAAGGGCTGGAGAGAGGCACATACTAGTCTTGCAACAGACCAAAGTTTGTTTCCCAACATCTACCTTGGTTGCTTACAACAGCCTGTACCTCCCAATTCTATGAAGACCAGATGCCTCTGGTCTCCTTGGACACAATAACTCACATATACATACTCAACTGTATACACGGAAACTTACACATAATGGAAAATAAACAGACATTAAAATAATAAGGATATTTACTTTTATATATTGAATAATATCTGGTTTTTAATAATTCATAGTTTATAGTAATGAATAGTTCAAATAATGCATAGCTTCATGGCTAGCTATCTTAACTTTTAGGAAGGTAGGTGTATACTAACATTTTGAGGGTTAATACAATGTACTTGCTCTGGAAGTTTAACCAGTAATCTTAGATTAAGTTGTAAATGAATTTTGAAGAAGTAAAAGAAGTTGAAGATATATGTTTGCTTCCATGAGTACAGATGATTTTGACATGAGAATTATTTAGGAAGTTTTATGGAATCCTTACACAATCCAAACAAGGTGAGGAGAGACACAGGCTTTCAACATGGGGATATCCCAGATTATCTGAAAAATGTCATTTGCTTTCCTTTTGATGGTTCTCTCCAATTCTATAGTCACCATTGAAGGCATGGACCCCCTGTTCTAACACACACAGAAGAACTGGAAAACTGGGATAACTTTTCATCACACCAATCCAATGTGAACTGAAAACTGCAAAAAAATAATTAAGAAAATGAGTTTGAGACCAGCCTGGTCTACAAGAGCTAGTTCCAGGACAGGCTCCAAAACCACAGAGAAACCCTGTCTCGAAAAAACCAAAAAAGGAAAGAAAAAAAAAAGAAAATTTGTTAATACTACAAAATTTTCAAGTACTGCCTGATATTTTAATTTAACTTTGATTCATAGAACTTTTCTTCCTACTATGTAGGATCACAGATTTGCTATATTTTGTGGCAGGAATACATAAAGGAATACAATAAATTCGCTTATGCAAAGTGGGAAATTATTTTTAGAATGTAGCATTTTGTTTCCTAATATAATCAGTAGTAATATTTGTCTTTTGAGACATTTTTAGAATTAGCCATAAATATCAAAACACATGGACAGTATCTTCTATAAAACTGTTTTAAATATTAAAGTGAATCAACTTTGTTTGGTTTACTGTTTAACTGAACAGATGGTAATGGTTTTGATACAATTAAATTCTCTTTTTCTTTTTTTTATCCCCCCCCCCACTCGTGGGGTAAAAATAATGCAGTAATACAGAGCTTCTGTGCCTACATTGTCACAGCTGGTCACCAATCAATCTGGATTCACGGTACAGTGATGCTAGCACATGTTGACCAGGGGCCAAATCTGATTGGATTGTATTTTTCAGCAGTGGTTCACATCAAAAGAAATAAGGTACATCTATGGTAGCAACTGACAGCCTAGGATAACACAACTGTCATTAATCAAACCTGGCAACAATGGCATCCTTCGCATACATCCAAGTCATGCGGATTTCATAAGGAAAATCATCTTGTTTCTAATAAAACTGCCTCATCAGAAATATTCTTCATCTGTTTCATCTTCTCTTTTTAATTAAGATAGTCAGTGCTACTATTATATGCCATGCATATGTAAAATTTCACTATACCGATAAGTGGTTTTATATCAAAGCAAGCGCAACTCATTTAAAGTGTATCCTAGACTAAGCAAAGGCAGCTAAAAACAAATTGAAGTATCTCTGACTGAGAAAAGAAATGTAACAACTTATGTGTAGATTAATATATAATCATACAGTTTTTATAGTTATGCTTATTAAAAAGTATGGGCATTGTTACTTTTGAGAAAACCCTGGATGAATAATCAACATAATACGTTACCTGATATTCAAGTGTAAGAAGCAGCAAACATATCAAACAGAAAGGTAGACTCTTTGCATTCTTAGAAATTTTCTGATAGTGGCTCACAATCCTGTTTACACCTAGACAACAGCAAAATCAGCCTTTTATTTAAAGTCACATCAGGAAATAGGCATTTTCTACAAGTTGTTTATCATCTTTCTGTCACATGTGGAAACATCACAAAGAACTTAAATGGAAGTATTATGGTTAAGTTGTATTATCAGCTTGACACAGTCCAGAATCCTGTGGGAAGAGATTCTCAATGAAGGATTGTCTTCATCAGGTTGGCCTGTGAGCATGATAGTGGAAGTTGTTTGATTTTGCATTAAGTGAAGTGGGAAGCATCACCCAATAAATATACTCGAAGTGAATGCAAAGAAGTGACAAACTGACCATTAGCATTCACACACCCACTGCTCTCTCTGATTCTGAGGTAACATGACCAATTCTCTCACCTGCTACCTCTATAACTGCCTTGCTGTGACGGTAATGGACTGTAACCTGAAATTCTGAGTAAAAATAATTCCTTTATATTGTTGCCTATGTCAAGTAAATGCTTAAGAGAAAACATAAATAATTTTTCCCTGCATATGAAATTATCTCAGATGTATGATTCCGATCAATGATGTAGCAGGAGGATACTTCTGAAATTATAGTTATCTATATTTATACATTAATTTTTAAATTGCTATATAATACATTTACTCAACAGCTCTTTATATTGTTACTCTTTTGTGCTTTTTTAGCTTAAAATTTATCTTAAACTGTAAACATAAGCCATCCTTATAGAGAAGCATTGTAACCTTGAAGCCATTCACATTTAAATAGCATTCATATTAGCAGAAAACAATGCATTAATTGTACATCTCTTGAGTTTTTGTATGTATAATATATAGCTATCATAAATTATATTTTCCTCAGGCTATACTGTTCTTATATATTTTGCAGTTATAGTTGGTACTCTTTCTGTTGAAACAGACATATTTACTGGAACAATTTTGTTAGTGGGATAATTCATATTCAAAAATTTTAAATGCTTTGTCCACCATTAGAAACACAGAGTGACCCCGTTATTTGACCATTAAGTTCCCAAGTCTGTGCTTTAAAGGACTTGTATAAATTTTGAAAGTTTTGTGATTAACAGTATGATGAGAACATTTGGTGAAACAGATAAGATGACCCCTTCTCTGATAAAGGCAACAATGAAAACTCGAAAACTCCATGTAGTTCTAAGTTATACAGAATCATTAACAGGTATCTGCTTTTCAAGGGGGAAGTAGCTGTATTTCTTTTTGGTGAAATTACAGAAGTTTTCAAACACAGAGAGTGAATAAGCCTTTCTTAAAGTCTTAAATCATGGTAAACAGGAAGAATTCCAAGGTCAATATGTTATTAGAAAAGTCAAAAGACAAAGGAGCTGGGGTGGACCAAGCCTCTGATATAGTTGGATGAAAGACATTTCTTTTTGCCATGCCAGTGTACATAATGTAAAACTGTCACTAGTAGAGATAAGGTTGGTTTGTTGTAGTTGTTGTTAGAAGTAGAACACACCTAATTACAATGCTATTTTGTTGAGTGGAGTTTTTGCCCCACCTGGTCCCACAGCCGTTCAGAACCCCCCCAAAAAAGTCACAGAGATTTACATTTAATTGTAAACTGGTTGCCTATTAGCTCGGTCTTTCTTATTAACAACTCTTGCGTCTTACATTAACCCAGAATTCTTGTACCATGTGGCTTGGTTCTTTTATATTTAGGCATTCTCATCTTTCTTCTTCTGCCTCTGGGTGATGACTGCAGACTGAGCCTTTCCTCTTCCCATAATTTTCCTGTTCTGGTTACCCTCCCTATACTTCCTGCCTGACTACTGGCCAATCATCAATTTATTAAACCAGTACAAGAGGCAAATCTTTACAGGTTACAGGACCATTGTACCAAAATACTGTTTGAAACCAGTTGAAAAAGGTATAAAGTTCATTTAACACTTAAAAAGCTCAAGTAGAATGATTGGGATTCCAGGTACCAACTGAGTAAGTTTGAGAGTCTGGGCTACATGAGAGCCTGCCCTAACAAAAAAAATTAGTCAGAGAAACAAACAAACAAACAGAAACCAAAGGAAAGAGAGAGAGATCCAGGCTAGACTTGTGTATCAATTCTTAAAACAACAGAATGTCCCAAAAAGTATCCAACATACACAATCAACTAAAACAATTTTTTGGAAACATTGATACAACTGTGAATCATTGAAAAAGAAAAACAGAATAAATTATCACAAGCTACCAGAAAAGAAAATGTTTGAAAAACAGTGAAAATTGAGAGGCAAGATCAGAAGAGTGGATTTCTGATCGTATTCTTGTCTTGTTTGTCTGTTAACTTGGAATCTTACAGCAATATCATCCCATGGCAAGGCACCCCCAACTTGCTCCAGCAAATCATGTTAATGTTATATGCTGTAAACTTATTTTGAAATAATCTGTTATTTTCTAAATTTAAGAAATGAACCATTATGAATAAGTGTGGGCTATACATTTCCTAAACTGGCGTCAAGTCCAGTTTTAGTGTTCATATAGGTAGTTGGAAAAAAAAAAACAAAGACAAAAACCACTTCCCTTATTTATTATTTTGATCAATGTTTATTTTGTCAACTTTTCAATATAGAAAACAAATATTTCTTCTTTTAATATAGTTTAAGTTTCATGTATTCATATTGTCTAAATATTATAGAGTGATTAACTTACAAAATAATAAATCATAAGTGACCCACAGCAAAAATATGTAGTATTTTCATTTATAGTGGAGAGTTATGAAGGACAGGACAAATTGGAAAGCCTGTCTTTGATAGCTTCAAAGAATAAAATGCTGTATATATGTAAAATGAATGGGTAACTGACAAGCAACTAGTGATCGTTTATAAAATGAATGATCTTAGTTTTAGTAATTTTTGTGTAAATGAGCTTAATTTTGTTGCTAGATGTAAATTGTATCACAAAAAAGAGATAAATGAAGATTACTGCCTGTATGCTATTATCTCTATGACTGATGCTATTTAATGATGCTGTTTCCTATTCTACACAGGTATGATATCAAAGATGACTATACCCTGAGAATTAAGAAGGCCATGAGTACAGATGAAGGTACCTATATGTGTATCGCTGAGAATCGGGTGGGAAAAGTGGAAGCATCTGCTACCCTCACTGTCCGAGGTAAGAGACTTAAAGCGTCAAAGAAAATTGAACCAGGAGCCTAATATTTTGTCCAATTGGTAAGTTCATGCCTGCTCAAAATAGTAGGGGCTCTTGGGCATGGTAGCCCACACCTGTTATCTTAACACACAAGAAGTAACCACAGAGGGATCACAAATGCAAAGTATGCCTTGGGGTCTACATAGCGAGAGTGTTTCAGAGAAAAGGAATATATTATACTTAGTATTATAAAAAATACTCAGGTGTTTTTGCATTAATTGAAATGAAATGACTGCTTTAATGGATCATTCCTTTTTCTTTCCCTCCCTTCCTTCCTTCCTTCCTTCCTTCCTCTTTCCCTCTCTCCCTCCCTCCCTTCTTTCTTCCTTCCTTCCTTCCTTCCTTCCTCTTTCCCTCTCTCCCTCCTTCCAGCCCTCTCTTCTTTCCTTCTTTTCTTCCTTCCTTTCTTTCTTGAATCCACAAAAGAAATTTACTTCCAAATGCAATGACCAGCTCTGAACTAGTGTTTAGTTAAATCTCAGTGTAATAATAAACTAATTCAGACAATAGTCAGTTCTGTCTGCTAAATGGTCCACCACATCTGGTGGTGGACATGTGTAACCTTGCTCACATCCAATCAGAAATACTAACGATTGCCTCAGAACTGGGACTGAATTGATTCTCCTTTCTTGCTTGGGGATGGCTGCCAAAATTGCTGTTGAGAGACTGACTTACATTTCTCTTGACATGCCAGCTTGAACTTAAGAACACAAAGAATCCATTCTATGACCACAAATAACATTTGCATGTGCCTATATTCAAGCTCAAGCTTCTCAAGTTCTCTTCTGTTTAGAATTATGGTTGCTGGAGAGGTTTTAGGCAATTATGTCTCAGTTTGATACTACTATATTCACCCAACTGCAGGAGCTATTGGCACCAATGCCTCCATGGAGACTGTATGAGCCTCATCCCCCTACATAACAGGATTAATGCGTCCTGTACCTTTGAACATAAGAGTAGATTCTTTTCAAGATTCCCATTTGGTTTTAAATCCTCAAGATCTCCAATATATGATCTCTGAATTTTATACAGCAGAAGATATTAAGATATTACAATTGTCTCTAGGTCTGTGTTGTGAAGATCCACTAACTGGCAGCACTTAAGCATTTCCCTGGTGTTGCCTTCTCATTTAACAAACAAAACAAGCTAAACAAGATGAAGGGAGCTGTCTGGGTTTATACTAGTGATTTGTGGAGAAGTCAGAGCAAGCACTCACTTTCTCCCATCATGAGACAATGCTCTGGCCTTTTCACATAGGTAAAATTACTTTGCGGTGTTATGTGCTATCAGAGATAATGATGGATGAGCCCAAACTGGAGAGGCTTTAGCTGGTACAATCCAGTTTCCAGGATTCTTCCCAGTTCCAACTCCTTTCTAGTAGTACTCTGAGTGTGTCTGATATTTGTCCTTCTGTATAGCCAGGAAATCCCTGTAAAAACAGTGCTAGGGTTGGGCTAGCACCAAGCAGTGCGGTTGGTTTAACTGTTTATGGGATGCCTCACTCAAAATCTCCTTTTTGTAGTTAGTACATACACTGACAAACAAAACCACAATACGCTAAAGATCTTTACTGATGAGAGTCTTTGATACCTAGCAAATCTCTATCATACCTTCTCTCAAACCTACTGTAATATGACTTGAAGTGATACATCTAGTCAAAACATATTGTTGAAATAATTTAGTATATACATGATTACTGGAAGCTTTCAAATTCTAATATATTCTATGCTGTCCTTTCAATATATATTTAAGATATATCAGGCTAATAATAGCTTCTAGTTCATAAAAAATTTAAGAGTATTATGGCACAATGGAAAGTTCAACAGCGTAAAATAGGGGTTTAAATTGTTGCTTGTATATTTTTAATTTCATTAATTTTATACAAAGAGGGGTCTAGAGATGCATGCCTAGAGAGACACTGAGGCAGGGGAACTGTAACAAATTGGAGGCCAGTCTGAGCTACACAGTGAGTCTCAAGAAATATGGGCTACACAGTGAGACTGTTTTTAACTCTGTTTTAATACAAGTAAAACCCAATCAAAAAAGCAGACAAGCATTGCTGTTTTATACTATCACTGATTCTAATATATAATAATTACAAGTGGTAAAGACAGAGTGGATGAAGATTGTAAAATATGGTAGTTTGTTTATACATTTTTTATTGTTTCATAAATATGAGTTCTCTGTTTGCATGTTCACTTATACACACTTGAATGGATCAGATGCCATTATTGATAGTTGTGAGCCACCATGAGATTGTTGGCAACTGAACTCAGGACCTCTAGAGACATCTCTCCAGTCTAATTTACTTATATAATTAACAGCAACACACCGACTAATAGTTGATATAGCTGAAAAGCACATCCTAAAAGTTAGGAAGACATAGCTAGTCTTTTTGTTTCTGTCTCTTGCAATGACTTACTGCTCTTAAATGCTGTCGGTTTTGAACTGTTTGCTTTCTGCTAGCTTACCCCTTTATACCGCTAAAACTGTTTAAAATGATGGAATTTCCTGTTTGTCTCAGCATTCAGCACACCAATTTTTTTTAAATTTCTTTTTTTTAAAATATATCTTTTTTTTATTGAGAAAAGGAAAAAAAACAAGTTTCCGCCTTCTCCCAGCCTCCCATTTCCCTCCCCCTCCTCCCACCCTTCTCCCCCTCCTCCCACCTTCTCCCCCTCCCCCCACTCTCTCCCCCTCCCTCTCCAGTCCAAAGAGCAGTCAGGGTTCCCTGCCCTGTGGAAAGTCCAAGGTCCTCCCCCCTCCGTCCATATCTAGGAAGGTGAACATCCAAACTGGCTAGGCTCCCACAAAGCCAGCACATTAAGTAGGATCAAAACCCCGTGCCATTGTCCTTGGCTTCTCATCAGCCCTCACTGCCATGTTCAGAGAGTCCGGTTTTATCCCATGCTTTTTCAGTCACAGTCCAGCTGGCCTTGGTGAGCTCCCAATAGATCAGTTCCACTGTCTCAGTGGGTGGGTGCACCCCTCGTGGTCCCGACTTCTTTGCTCATGTTCTCCCTCCTTCTGCTCCTCATTGGGACCTTGGGAGCTCAGTCCAGTGCTCCAGTGTGGGTCTCTGTCTCAATCTCCATCCATCACCAGATGAAGGTTCTATGGTGATATGCAAGATTTTCGTCAGTATTGCTATAGGATAGGGTCATTTCAGGTTCCCTATCCTCAGCTGCCCAAGGAACTAACTGGGGACATCGCCTTGGGCTCCTGGGAGCCACTCTAGGTTCAAGTCTCTTGCCAACCCTAGGGTGGCTCCCTTAACTAAGAATTGTGGTTCCGTGCTCCCCTATCCAACCTTCCTTTATCCCAATCATCCTTTTTCCCCAAGTTCCCCCCATCCTCCCCTTCTCCCTTTTCTCTCCCCATCTCCCCTTACCCCCATCCCACACCACCCCCAAGATCCCAATTTTTTGCCCAGCAATTTAAGGGAAGCAAATGACTAGCTGTATTTCAAAGGTGGTAACAAAATTCCTGCATCCAGATAAACTGATTTAGAGAGCAATTTGTGAAGTTCACTGACCTTAACTAAGGGAGGTAGTCATGGACACGTCTATAACATGAGCTCTCTGAGTGTTATGAACTCTCCCTATTAAAGAATCATGCTCATTTCTAGACACAATAGAATTGTTTATAGTAACAGAAAGCACTACTAAATCTATGTTTCTCTACAGTGAACTATCTGCGTTCCTGGTGGAATACGGCTATCACAATAGCTTAAGTTATGTGTTCCCAGGTACAGAATACTGTCCCAAGATAGAGGACACTTTTGCTTCCTGCAGAGACATTGCTATGGCACTGTTGAAACTTACCAGTTTTTAGCCTTCTGCCCACCACCCATGAAACGAGAGGCTTTGTCTCATTTCTCTATAGAAGGACGTTGGCAGCAGCTCAGCTGTACCTCATCTTTTACCCTTGCTCAGCTTTGCTCCCACAAGTTTGTGTAAATTAGAAAACAGGTTTAGGGAGTTTAAAGTTCAAGGAATTCATTCAGTCAGGGAAACTTAGGTGAATATTTCATCTGGTAAAAGAGAAATTATGCCACCACACTCATTTGTCTCCAGGTAACAAGCAGGAAGCAAGCATTTGTTCTCTATCCCATATTTTCTCTTCTTTCCAATGGCCCTGTTCTTATTCTCCCAGCACCCCCCCCCCAATTTTTTAGTGGAAACATAGATCCAAACAATTTAGACAGAGTTGGTAGCTCTTGCTTATCAGCATTGTCACTATTTATTTATTAAGTCACAGGTAGCTTATTATTTATGAACCAAATATAATCATTGATTGTATATGATAAAAACATAGCAACTCATGGAAACAAAACTACATACTCCAGTGATAATTTTAAATACATTCATTCTGTTGCTCCATCCAGTTCCACTTCTCAAACACTTTCCCTCTCTCCCAGATTCACTCCCTCCCCATCCCCAGATTCACTCCCTCCCCATCTCCCAGATTCACTCCCTCCCCACCTCCCAGACTCACTCCCTCCCCATATCCCAGATTCACTCCCTCCCCATCTCCCAGACTCACTCCCTCCCCATATCCCAGATTCACTCCCTCCCCATCTCCCAGACTCACTCCCTCCCCATCTCCCAGATTCTCTCCCTCCCCATCTCCCAGATTCACTCCCTCCCCATCTCCCAGACTCACTCCCTCCCCATCTCCCAGATTCACTCCCTCCCCATCTCCCAGATTCACTCCCTCCCCATCTCCCAGAAAAGAGCAGGTTTCCTAGGGTTATCAACCAAACAAGGCACAGCAAGATACATTAAGACCAGGCACAGACCCTTACATAAGACTGGTCGAGGCAATGCCGTAGGAGGAAGAGACTCTTATGAGCAAGTAAAGGAGTCAAAGTCACCCCACTTTCACTGTCAGAATCCATCCAAAACACCAAGCCAACAATGTAGCATATGTGCGAGGAATTATTCTTAAATAGGTAAACTGCCGTGAAAATAATTCGGATAAATCAACTCATCTTTAAAGTATGCTGGGGGATTGAAATGAATGAGGCAAAATTATATGACCAACCCCCAAAATATTCCATTCACAGCCTATTTGCTGACTAAACAAAGGCTGAGAGAATGAGAAAATATGTCAGCTTGTGGATGACACAGATTTCTTTTTACACATGCGTACTCCAAACAAGGAGACTCGGGGTGTTCTATTGGCTTGAGAACTTTCTCAGCTAATTGTTTTCATAATTTGTTGAAAGTTTCAGGTTTAGCATTATATTGGAAGCAAATGTACAAAACTGATACAAAGCATTGTCTTTTAAAATATGATTTATGTATTTTTAAAAGACCAGCAAGCCTTTAAGTGGTTTCTTCTCTGATTTGTAGCTTGTAGATGAATTTGAGTGTTTGTGTCCCCATGGTTTGAATTTGTCATTCAACTAAGGCAGCAACTTCAAAATAAGGGTTAAATAATATTAATAAATCTTTGAAGAACAATGTAATGTGCAGTAAATTATTATTGAAAAACATGTTTTACCATTAAGACATGCTGTGGGGATAGCTCACACTGCAAGGTTAATGGGGGTAAAATTATGACTTTTATTTTCTGTGTCTATTTCATTATGCACATAAATGATATGTTCAGCCTTTCTCTTGGTTGTTTTATTACAATGAGGTCAACTGACCCAAGAGGCCATGTCCATTTTAATCCATTTAATTCTGGAACACATTTGAGTTTAATTTGCTGATTTTGAAGACATCCACCTGCTGATTTTCATGACGGAATGTTGCTATGGAAAATATGCAGCTTTACTGTGATATTTATATAGAAATTGTATCATTATATGAATGTTAGTGCATTGGGGATAGTTTAAAGAGTTTTATAATCAACAATTGAAACCAAAGTCTCTTCAGTCTCTTATTGTGTGTTTGCTTTTTAATTTCAAAAACATGGTAACAAAAAGGTGATCAAAGGAAGCTTGCCATCAAGTATAGATTCATTATCTTCCTTGACAAACAAAATGAAAAAGAAAATAATTAGTAAAAGAACTTGCATCCATAATAATCAAATCAAAAAAATTATTAAGTAATTTGCAAAATGGTTCTTGAAAGAGACATAAAAACAGCAGTTACATTTATGCAAACAGCTTCCCTCATTTCCCAGTTTCTTCATTCACTTGGTGTTAAGGATCTCAATGAACTTACTATATTCCAGTGCAGTAAAGTAAAATGTTTTTGAGATTATTATAAAGTGAACACAAAGTATATTATTTATTTTAACATGAACCCTCACTATGCTTTCTTCTTTTTCATGTCACAGCCTTAGAAGACATATTTCTTAGGGAAGTATATTTGAAAAACAATCTTATATTGTAGCTAAATTAGCACAAATTTCAAAATTGATTTCTTTTTCCTATTTGAAACTCACACAACCAAGGGAAATTATTAGTGGGAGTAAGGAAAAATTTATAATGTCAATCTTATGTCTTTATTTGATTATTCGTCTTGGACCTTTCTACAAATCCCTTTACTTAAGGGTAAAATGGATTGTCCAGCAACCTCCCAATGCCCCCCCACTTTTTATAATAAACATACAATAAAAATATTTATGCCACTGACACAGGAATTTTTTTACTGTTACTATAGTTTTATTATCCTAATTATAAATACTACCATTATAATAGACAGATGTCTTTCAGATATATCTAACTATACTATTATTTTTGGATCTTAGACAAAAATCCAGAATTATGATGAACAGGTTGACTAAATGCAACATATAAAGCATGATCTGAAATGATTTACCTTATCAAGTCCAAAGAATCAACATCAGCAAGATCTATTCATACCTTCTTCTAGAAACTTATTATTATTCTCTAGAGTTATATATGCTGCGGTATGGTTGAATGACATATTGGAAGGAAAGATATATTATATATTCTAATTTTGCAGTTTTATATAGTTAGTTCTTATGAATGGATTTTTTCCTTTTGGATAAAGAAAATCCATATTTTCTAATACTTAATTGTTGCCTTTATATGGTTGTTCATCCATGCTGATTTGAAATTATTTATAAAGAAAATATTAAACGTATGTATGTGTCTTAAAATTTCAGTCATTAAGAGAATGTCCACTTATTGCTTATATATTTTAGTAACTGAAAGTATAATATCATAAAAAAGATATATTTGCTGAAGCATCGGTTTGAAGCTATGCTCACTGAGAGAAAGAATCAACATGTCAGTCACAGCTTCATAATCTATGCCGGAAAAAGGGATAAGTTCAGCGGTGGTTAGGGGGTGGTCAAGTTGAGATCTGCAGGCATGTCTCAACCTATTTGGTGCATGTAACAAATGGAAGATTTCCATGCACGGAAAGCACAGTGGACATAAATTATTGCCTACTGAAAAGTTGTATCAGAAACTTGTCTATATTCCTTGATATAGTTCTGACAAGACATGCTTTAAGATCCAACTGCTGTTTAGTTCAGGTAGTGAGGCCTTATTTCTCAGACATGATGATTGCTTCCTTTTGGCTTGAATAGTTTATCAGTCTGTTCTTAACTTTGAAGTAGCATAAGGATCTTTAACTTGATATCTTTGAAATAAGAACTGAAGTAAGTGCTGACGATAAGACTAAACCTAAATTATTCCTTCAAGTTTCAGCTTTAGGCCTAAGGCTAAAAATAACTTTTACCATAGGATTATGTTTATATCTTTCAGTTGTGTAAGACTTAGGCACCCTGTTCATAATTGAATTATGAGAATGGAAATCACTCTATTGTCCATACTTAAATGTAACATTACACATCATGCATTCTGATAATTTTCTTTTCTTTCTTTTTTTTAATTTCTTTTTTATGTTCTCACCACACCATTGTAATGTCTACAGTTCGCCCTGTTGGTAAGTAGCCATCCTTCTATCCATTTGGCATGGCTTTGCACAGTGCTTCATAATTCATGCATAGTAGCATTTGACAGAATTAAATATATTTATTCACCCATGTTAAAATGCTTCTCGGGGGACTCTCTGCTATAACAGTTGCTCATGGCTTTTCAATTGCGTTGGTAAACCATTTTAGTAATTACTTTCTCGACACAGCAAGGAGTGGGTGTCAGTTTTCTGATAAAATAACATATTGTTAATGATGTAAACCCCTAACTTTTCCTAAGGAGGATGGTATAATACTTCATTTTTTATTGTTTGTACAATATAATAGGCTATGCTTGATATTACTCAAGAGAGAAGTCTATGCATTAAATTGAGATGTTTATTTCTTATTCATCTGCTTCATTTTAAGCCAGTCAGACTCCTCTTTTTTTAGGGTTATTTCTCTTTGTGCCTGCTCATCTGCATTTTGACATAGGCGAAATTTAATAGAAATCTGCTATATGTTTGTTTCAGTGGATTCTTAACCTTAGTGTGGGGGAGTTGGGAGATATGTGTTCTTTGGCATGAAAACAGTGTTTGTGGCTAAATAGCTCATCATTGCTTTGGCTTTGCAAAAATGAATAGCATGCACTTGTAGACATTTAAATGCTACTTATTTGTGCCTGTTTTCATGATGAAATATTTATAAATTCATTAAATTAGCAACCTCAAGCTTAGAATAACTTACCCACGAGTATGTTTAGATAGAAGAAAATTTGTGAGATGAATATATGAATGCATAAAGGCCTGGATAAATGAATGGTTCCAGCAATTTTTTTTTAGAAAAAAATGCCTAAAGTATTTTAATAACTTATTTTGGTTTCATGAATTGTCCATCTAGCTTAAAAACCCTTCATAATATGCTCACCTTGTTGAAATAGGAGCGGTGGGGCTGCGTCCCCAGAACCCCGCGGCCTGCACGGCTAGCTTTACCTGAAATAATTACACGGAAACTGTATTCTTTTAAACACCACTTGACCCATTAGTTCCAGCCTTTTCTTGACTAACTCTCACACCTGGACTAGCCCATTTCTAATAATCTATGTAGCACATGAGCTGGCTTACCAGGAATGATCTTAACCTGCATCTGCCTGGAGTGGGAGAATCATGGCGACTCACTGACTCAGCTTCTTTCTCCCAGCATTCTGTTCAGTCTACTCTGCCTACCTAAATTCTACCCTATCAGAGGCCAAGCAGTTTCTTTATTACTTAACCAATGAAACGACAGATAGAGAGATGACCCTCCTCCATCATCACCTGATGTTGTTGCCATTTGATGTAAATTGATTTAAGCTTATATTTTTCCCTCATTGGATGGAAGACACACAGACACTTATCATAGAGTTTGTTCTTATGTTAATAGCAAATATAGTCATCAAAACTTTGTTTTCTAAATTAGAAGTTCTCATATGCATTTTACTAGCACTCTTTTTCATTCGTGTCTTAATATTCTTACTCCTTACGTCAGATAAGTGCAGAACATCTGTGTGAATGACCTGAGCTTAAGTGGTTCATTGGACCATACATACAACATTTCTATAAACCTCTATTGTCGTACTTCTAGGCCTAGTTTTTGATAAATCGATTGCTTAGCATAGCAACCTTAAATATACTTAAAACTTAATTAATTTAAATAATAACTTGCATTTTTTCTTAAGGCATAATAATTTAACCAATCATACTTTTCAGAATTGATGCTTGAAAATTCAGAACAATAACACTATAATTTTACTGCACATTACTTGAATTTACAGTAATCCATATTAATAATGACAATATAACAATAGATATTTAAAAATAAGAAGAGAATGAATAAAATGGCATAGACTAGGGTTGCTGAGAAGCCAAGGACAATGGCACTGGGTTTTGATCCTACTGCATGTACTCGCTTTGTGGGAGCCTAGATTGTTTGGATGTTCACCTTCCTAGACCTAGATGAAGGGAGGAGGACCTTGGACTGCCCATAGGGCAGGGAACCCTGACTGCTCTTAGGACTGGAGAGGGAGGGGGGAGTAGAGAGTGGGGAGAGGGTGGAAGGGAGGCGGGGAGGAGGCAGAAATTTTTAATAAAAAAAAAAGAAAGAAAAGAGAGCTACTTTTCTACAATATAGCCCACCATTGGGGCTGGAGATATGGCTCAATGGTTAAGACCACTGACTGCTCTTCCAGAGGACCCGGGTTCAATTCCCAGAACCCACATGGTAGCTCACAACTGTCTGAAGATCCAGTTGCAGGGGATCTGACACCTGCACACCAATGCACATAAAATAAAGTTAAATAAACCATAATAAAAAAAAATATATAGCCCACCATTCTCCAGCTGGCACTATTTTACATGGTTATTTTAGAACGAATGCTCTGCTCTAACACCATTCCAGAGCTGCTAGTCCATTACCCTGTCTCCCTAGATCATGGTTCTCTAACACCATTCCACAGCTGCTAGTCCATTACTTGATCACTCTAGACCACATCAACACTTTTCCACAAGCTCCCAAAATAAACAAACATATGGAGACTTAATATTAACTATAAATGCTTTTCAGATAGATTAGGCTTATTACTAACTAGCTTTTACAACTTAAACTAACCTATATTTTTTATCCATGCTTTGCCATGAGCCAGTACCTTTTTTCAGCATGGCATGTTCAAATTGTTTCTCTCCAAAGCTCCCAGTGACTCCCCCCTTTTTTCCCATACTCTCTTTTTGTACACAATTCTTGCCTAAACTCTACCTGTCTAGCTATTTGCCAGTAGTCCTTTATTAAACCAATGAGAACAACAAATATTCACCATGTACAAAAACATACATGCTCCATAGCATCTCTCTCAGCACTGCTGAACTGGGTAGAGAGACCTATTTATGTATCAAAAAATAAATTCATTATTGAAACTTATAATAAAATGTATTAATATATATATATATATACACATAAATATATGTAACCAAATTAAATGTTTTAAATATTAAGGCATAGTAATTGGAAAAATGAAATTCTAACCTTTTTGGAAGTCCTAATGACTGGGCAACAAGAACTTCCCAAATTTAGAAATTTTTATTTCTTTTTTTAAAATTTATTTATTTATTAAAATTTCTGCCTCCTCCCCGCCACCTCCTCCCATTCCCCTCCCCCTCTCCCGATCAAGTCCCCCTCCCCCGATCAAGTCCCCCTCTATCATCAGCCCAAAGAGCAATCAGGGTTCCCTGACCTGTGGGAAGTCCAAGGACCACCCACCTCCATCTAGGTCTAGTAAGGTGAGCAACAAAACTGCCTAGGCTCCCCCAAAGCCAGTACGTGCATTAGGATCAAAAACCCATTGCCATTGTTCTTGAGTTCTCAGTAGTCCTTTTAAGAGAGTCAACCTATGGTTTTCATTGTCAGTGTTAAAATATATGATCAGATGAGAGCACATGTCCAAGAAAAAATTGGAGAAAGAACTCTTCAGATTTTGCTATTATAGCAAGCACTTTTCAAGTGAACAGAAAATAAACAGATTCAACTTACAGATTTTGGCAGCTAGAAATAATATGCTCATGCACCATGCCCTTTTACCTCATTTCATAAGTTCTTAGATTACACGACAATGTTAATAATGTCTAATACATTTGCAAAATGTGGTAGAGTAATGGTTAAAACAACATGCTGTGTTCTGTGCTCTGAGATGTAGCTGTCACTTACAGTGAGTTTCAAAAGTTACTTCCAAATTTATTCTTGTTTGAAACATTTTCTTAAATTCCCATTGGGCTGGGAATAAAGAAAAGCTTTTTGACACATTATATTTTATCTTAGAAAGTCTGCCATTTCATAAATCTGTCTTGAATGACTTATGACAGTGCTGAGAAGTATGAAGAACTATATTTCAAACGTGACAACTGCTGTGAACTTGGGAAACTGAAAGTTAGATGTGTTTTCATGGATTAATAAAGAAAAGACTGACAATGAAGAGAGCAGACTGCTGTGCATTAGCTCCTAAACTGACTTTCAGTACATTAAATGTAGATATTGAAACTTTTATATTAAGTCAGAAAGGAACACACTAATTGAAATAATGAATTAAACACATTATGAAAACTCATTTTATTTATTTTAGTGGAGTCAAAACCAAGTATTTTTCAACTTTGAAGATCTTATAAATAACCTAAAGAGTATTCTAAAATCAAATCATAAAGAAGTGAGAAAATTACTTTATAATTCTAATATAATTAGTGAAATATATTTTCAAACAAGCAAGTAGTCTAGAAAGATATTTCTGTATTCCTCTTATGAAATGATTTTTTTTAAAAAAAAGTATAAATCAAATTGAGATTCCTGAGCACTGAAGGATTCAGAAAACAGTGATGAACCTTCTTTCTACACAGATGTGGAAAGTCAAATTTGGAAACTATTGAAAACTTCATATTGAAAATTTCTCCAAACAGATAACATAAAAGATTCAATTGCATTTGAAAGATCCAAGTTTACTATACCACTCAGGCCACAGTTGAAATTACAAACACAATTAACTGTATTTTGAGATTCTATATAAAGTTGTTTAGGTTTCTGCTGTAGAACGTATTTTTGAAAACCATTAGTTGATAATCATTTTTGGAAAGTATTATTTGTACCGTAGTCACTGATTTGTAACGTCACCAATTTCTCAGACAGAGCCTGCTTATCTGTTAGATTTTGGGTTAGCAGTAAATCTAGATCAATGCCACTTTGATAATGAATTCACTGTGTTTTCCTGTTTTACTTTTGACACTGTTCCAAAGGCATCGCTCATAAGACAAAGCAAAAATTCATCTGAGGGCAAATCTAACTATGGCTAGTGGAGTATTAATTTTTTTCTTGGAAATGTCTTCTGACAGGAGACCTGACAATAAGAAAATGGTCTCAGTAGGGAACCTACCTCTTTTCCTATAACCATCTGGTTTATTTTCCTATTGAAAGTCTTTTCTGCAGCATAAAAATAAAAATGAACATCTATTTTGGAGAT